GGATGAAAAATTGTCTGTTCTAATTTCAGGCCCAGCACAACCCATGAGGTGGAAATACAGGAAAAGACCTCTTCACCCCTCTGTTGCAGTCAATGGAACAAATGGAGGCTGAATCTTTGTATTACGCTGTCACTTGTACTATAACTATTACTTTAAGATCACGGGGAGGTACATGCAATGTGCAGTTTTCCTGAGATGCCGGAAGGTTGTCAGATAAAAACAGCTCCCAGGTGGAAAAGTTGTTTTGAAGTGACCAAGGCTCTATATGGTTTCCTAGAGAATACACACTTGTGTGCACACACAGCAGCCAGACGATCTCTTGTATTTGTTCCACTTGTTATTAATGTTGGGTTGGCTAAACAGTTAAGTAGAACCATGAGTAGTCTCTCCCTCTCCTGCTGAAGCCTTGGACAGTTTGTATATCCTTGCTTATTTCCTTTATGGCCTCCATCTGCATGTCTGGCCTTTAGAAGACAGTCCGCGGTATAGATTATTTACTATCCTGGATAGAAACAGACAAAAATACTAAGAAATAGAAGTTTTAAAAGGTGTAAGACCAGATCTAAAGTTTATTGCATTCAAAAATTCTGGGATGGATTTAGAAAATTGACCATTAAGGAAACTGGCTGTGTTTGTAACACCAGTAACAAATAATATGGGTAGAGATATCATCTATCAGACAGGAAAGAACTGATAGATTTGTAGATATATAGATGGACAGATAGAGAGATAGTGAAATAGGCAGAGAGACAGAGAGAGGTATTACAAAACAAATGGAAAAAAAAAATCTTTAAAGATATTATGAAATTCCAACAGAGAGCTGATGAGGAGCGTTTTTGCACGTTTGACTGCATAGTTCCCTCCTTCTCTGTCTACAGTATTTCTATACATGTGTATGTGTGGGTGCACGCATACGCGTGCACACACGCTCCTACACACTGTCAGTACTTGGTCATCTGCCATGCATCTGCATTAGAATGAGGTACGTGAAATCAGCAGCATTGATGCTGGACCCTGACTGACATTCCCTCCGGCTACTCGGAGAATAAAATAGGAGCAAGAATGGGTTTTTTAAAACAAGTATTCATTAATGCAAACAATCCAATATTGAGACTGTGCCTACAACATACATCGTTTGAAGAGAGGCTGGGTATAGCTTCAGAAGTAAAACATGCCACGGGATATCAGGGTGTTCTGAATCTGATCACTAATTTTGTCGTTGCTTCCCCTGAGGCTGTAAACCTCCACTTGAAAAGTGACGACTGACTTGGGATGCTTATGTCACACACCTAATCTCCATGTTTGGTTCTCTCAGAAGCTCAGCAAGCAGCTGGGTACCCAAATAAGAATTAGCTTCTTAAAGTCCTTTTCAGAGTTAGGCCTGATTTTCAAGAACATGCACTGACTGTGACTACAGTTGTGGGAGGCCAACACTCCCAAAAAGCCGGCTTAAAATCCATCTTTAACCTAAATTAAGTTAAATTCCCCTAATCCCAAACTGGAGGGAAAAAAAAAAAAAAAAAGCAGTACTTTTTTTTTTTCCTTGGAGCTCTTTGCTTCGTTTCTGCCATCTCAATTAATAAATACAAATGTGAACACACACATGCACACACAGATCTGCAAGTACACATACATACACACACACACAAACATGCACACAAGCCCTAATTAAAAGGAAATTATTCTGGTTGCAAGGACAAGCACTTAAACACTAAGAGCCCCCAGAATTGAGGTTACATGCACAACCTGGATTTTCCTTTGTTGTACAGATGCATTCTAATTCAGCCTTTAATTACATGATCACTCACAGAGTAGATGGCATGTACAGTGCCGTTTGTTGACTGCAGAGGACTGGAGGACTCTGCCTCCCATTTCAAGCACACAGGAGAGTGGGCATTTTGAGGCAAATATTCTCCTCCAGGCACAGCCTCTTGTTCTTTTAACTCACCCCTGTCTCAGATCCATCCCTTCTCACTGTATTCCCCCTCTCGGTTTCAGTCCAATATTCGGTTTCACTTTTTGGCGCTCTCTGAATCTCTTTTTCTGCCTGAGCTTTCTAGTGCCCTGTCCCTGAGTTTGCCAACCCCACACGCTCTCAGATCCAGTATACTTTCCACAGCTTACTTTCCAATGTTCACTTACATTCCTTCTATTAAGCCCTCCCTTTTCTCTGTTATTCTGCCACACACGGTTCCCCATCAGATTTATCTTCCCTCCCATTTCTCACCATTTTCCCAGATTCTTGTTACTGAGAAGCAGAGTGTTGTGTCTCAGTACAATCTTTCCTTCCAAGCTCTCCATGGCTAACTGGGTCAATGCAAATAAATAAATGGCATATTCTTCAATCCTAGGTCGAAATCGCAGGACAGCACATTCTCATATGGCTAAAATCTCTTCTCCCAAAAAACACACTATCCTTGTCTGTAGTGCCTACTGGAAACACCCTAGTGAGGTGTGATGACTTCCAAACTGCACCCAGAAGGTGCCTGGGAGGCTGATAGGGGCCAAAGCCATACCAAAAACTTGGCTAATATTAAGGAAAATAATAAATCTCTTAACCCTGTTCTCTGGACTCGCTTCTCAACCCTTCCCAGTGTACTCCAACCTCCTTTGTCTTTCCAGCTCTTCTGATTTCTCCCCAGCTGTCTCTTTTTAATTTCTACTCTAGCCTCACTATTGGATCTCCTTGTCAGCCCTCAAAAGCTCAGGGAAGACAAACTCCCTGCTTTTGTCTCAGGTATCTAGATATCCAATTTTTCCTGGTCTGTCCTAGGCCAGTGCTGCAATGACAGGAAGAACGCTTGTCTCTGCTGAAGCGTACCCGGTGAGAGCCGAGTCACTGAGGAACCTGGTTTTGGAAATCTGCATCTCTGGTGAGCGTGTGAGAACTGCCATTTTCCCAGGGCTTTTAATTGGCCACTTTGGGGCAGATTTTCCCCGAGATAGCAAAAAGACTTGAGAAAGAGCTTCACCTCCTGTCAGCTCTTAGTATCATGCTGTAAAGCATGGGGACAGGAGAGCTCTACAAAGCATCTCATTTGACTCAGTTCAAACCAGCCCAGTTCTCCTCTGGGTCATTCTCAGGGACAGACAAATAGCTCTGGCTGAAATTTTTGAGAAACAATTAACTGAATGCAGGCACCCAACTTAGAGAATTTCAGCCAAAACATGTTCAGTTTATCAAAGCTGAACAGAATTTTATTATAGAAAGTCTGAGGCAACCTTTGTAACTGGCAGCAGTGCTACCAGATCCTATTAAACTGAAATTTCCCTTCCTCACAGGGGCGCTGTGAGCATTAATTTGTTAATGATTGCACAATGATTTGATGATGAAAAGGACCATATTAACATGAAGCATTATTGTCCCTACAATACAAGCTTGCCTGCTTTCATTACTCATTATGTACAGGGACATACATATTATGGAAAAGGGATGGGGAGATAATAAACTTGATATTCTTTTCAAAGGACTGATACAACATGGTCACAGAGTTCACAGCATGGGTAATAGGAATATTCTGGAGAGCTCTATTTAAATAGCAGAATCCATTGGGTGGAGAGTAATGATGTGTATGTATGTCTCTGCACAAATCCTGTGTCTAAACATACATGCAAACACCCGCATACACTCTCTCTTCTTTTTCTCTGTCCTCTATTAACCCCCAGTTTCATTGCTGCCTTTGCTTTACCACCTGAAACTCACCAGTGCTACTTTAATAACAAAAGGCCTCCATAAACAAAGCTCCCTTTTATTACAGTGATACCTTTTGTTGCCTACATTGACTAAAATCCTGTACTAAGCTCCTTTGGATACAAATAGTTTTTTCTCTCCTCAATCAACCTTCTTGGTTATAACTACGGCAGAGGGAGAAAAAAAAATAGAAGGAAAAAAAAAAAACCCTACAAAAAAACCAACAACCCACACTGATTCACGCATTAATTCAGGGACCAATCTTGCAAATGTTCACATGAGTAATCCTTCCTCAGATGAATAATCCCTCTGACCACAGCAGACTGATTAACAACAATGCAGATTAAGGTTTTCAGGATCGGGCCCATTGCCTGATCCCTGGGTTCTCACCCAAAGTTTAGCAGATGATGGTCCTTCTCCTTTTGTTGCATGTATTAGAGACTCACATGCAGCTCTCAATTATTTTATTTGATTACACAGCTAATAGGCCCTGATCCTGTCAGCGCTCCCCAGAAAGCCTAACAAGCTGAAGTACACAATACCAGCTGAGTTACAAGACTTGGCAGGATTGGGCCCTTTAATAGTAGCCGAGAGATGTATCTTTCAGCTGTGATCAGAACGTGTATCTTTGCAATTAACGGTCTCAGGTTTTATTTGGAAAATCTCTAAGGGGAATCTGGAAGTATGTGGGCTGATTTAGCTACCTAAGTCTAAAAAAAGGATAAATTACTATTTAAAAACAAAATTCAGGCATATTTTTGATTTATTGGAAATGAAACTTGCCTGAAATTTATTTTCTCTATTTAAAAACCAAATTCAGGCATATCGTTTGTTTATTTATCTGGAACAAAACTGTCCTGCAATTTATTTTATATCATTCAGTGAATGGCAGTTCTGTGTGCTATGGGCCCAGGGTTTTGAAGTTCAGCAGAAGAATCCCCCTCCAGCAACCTTTTGGCCTACTCCTCCCTTTCTTCTTTACTTGCTCGTTTCCTGGAGAATGAAGATATTCAGGACTGATGTCTCGCTATGCCCCCCTTCCCCTGCACCAAACGGTGTTCATTAAAAACTTGCTGCTAGCGGGGGCCTGATCCAGCCCTCCTGGAAGTCATTGGAAAGCTGTCTATTGACGTCATGGGGACGAGGAGCATACTAATGCATGCAAGTACCTTTACTAATGCGGGCAGTCCTGTTAACAACACCGAAATTGTTCGCAGGATTAACAGCAATCAATCAAGCCCTTTGAAAGGCACATTAAAAGCCAAAGCCTGGTGCTGCAAACCCTTTCCCACACGAGGTGTGTGCCTACCTGTGGCTGGTCCCGCTGCATCTCTCTGCTCCCACCCCAGCAGCCGTCGGCGCATTCTTCTAAATTGTGCAGATTCGGGGTAGCAATTCTTCTGAGGAGGTACGAATCGCTGGTGGTCTACCCCCAGAAGAAACAGGTTCCCCTCCACCCCAAAACAAACAAACAAAGAAAGAAAAGACACTAAACAGCGTGAGGAGTAGGAGCAAATGGGGCTGTAATCGGCTTGGAAGGAGAGGTGCTTTTTTTTCCCAGGCAAGTAGACACGTAGGAAAAAAAAAAAAAAAAAAGAAAAAGAAAAAAAAAAAGGGGGGGGGAGGATTTTAAGTGCTTTATTTTTGTTCCAAGCAGATAAATAATTTTTACTCTCCAGGAGAAATTGGAGCTTGTTACAAAAGACCTTATTCTTATCAAATTCTCGTGGACTCCCCTGCTTACGGATTGCTGAACTGGACCCACTGTGATTACACTGGGAACATTTCTCACTTGGGAACTGCTCAGCAAAGGCTGGTTTATAGATAACAATTTCCACTCCTCCTTTGCCTGTATCTCTTTAAAATCCAGTACAGCCCCTCGTACATGTGTAAAGGTGCTTATGGGGTATAGCTTATTTCTATCCACAGCAGCAGCTGTGTTCATCTCAGAGCCCTTGTAGCAATATTTGTGTCCGTATTATTTCATCCTGCCACCCCTCACAGCTGTGCCTGTGCACCAGGGGGCTGTACTTGAACGGCATCCATTTCTAAATGACTATACTTACGGCTCTGTGAAAACGGGGCGTGGACCAGCTCAAAGTTTCAAAAAATATATATATTGTTGTAAAAGGGACACCCTCGCTGAGCAACAAAACAACTCTTCTCACTGCCCTGTTATTTTAATTAGCTTTCGTTTGGGATAAGCTGTGATTGCAAGGCAGAGTGGCCTGCTCACGGACAAGGTGCTAACAGAGCTGTCCGTGGAATGGATCAGCGCCGGATGCTGTTTCACTTTTCACTATAGTGGATATTCCTTCTTTAATTAAAAAAAAAATAATAATTTTAAAAAAATATAAAAGATTTAACAAGACTTCCTTCAGTGAACCCTCCCAGCTCTGTCGCAGGTGCATTTTATGGTTCAGAAAGGGCAGATATTAAGATTTTTTGCTGTCCTGGTTCAGGGTGAGGAGGGTTGTGTGGCAGAAGACTTTGTTTCGTGCGGGTTTTGTTGTTGTTTGTCATTCTTTTATCACAGTCCGAGGCAAGGATTTGAGAGCAGGTGAGTCACGGGGCTGGAAATTCGGGAGAGGGGGCCGTCTGAGGGTTTTACCCCCCCCTCCCCCCACCTCCCGGGCTGTCGGACCTCCCCGTCTTTAGCCTTTAAACGTTGTGAAGTGCGTGCCGGGGGGAGGGAAGGCAGACAGATCCCCTCCTTTAGACCCCAATAAACAGCCTGCCTGGTCAGACAGCAGACAATGCGCGGTGCCTGCCACCAGCCCCAGCGCTCGGCGCCTCCTGACAGCAGCTGCCTCCCCATTAGCGGCGAAAAGATATTTAAAGAGCCGTAAAAGACAGCGAAGGCTGCCGGGGGGCCGGGCTCGGCTGTCGCCCCCAGGTGCGGGCTACGGGGGGAAGGGGAGGATGTTGGGGGGGGGGATCCGGAGGGCCCTGTCCCCACCCCACAGCCTCCGCGGGGACCCTCCGCCGCCCCGGGGAAGGAAGGGCGCAGCCCTGCTGTAAACCCCCCCAAAACCCGCACTCCCTCCCCCAAAATCGGGACCCTCCGCGCTCGTCTCCTGGCAGGGGCGCTCGTTTAAGGCACGGGAAGACTCGCAGTCGCGGGAGTAGTTGTAATAGCTGAGCCACCTGCACCGGGTTGGTATTTTATTTTTGCTTTCTTTTTTTTTAAATTCTTTTTATGTTTTAAGGCGGGGAGCGGGGCAGAGGGCGAGACGCTGCCTCCTTGCCTCTCTTGTTCTTTAAAACAAAAGCCAAATAAAGTGAAAACCCGCTGCAAAGGTGTTGTGGTGTTTAGCCCGCCCCCCCGGGGCCGCCACCGCCTCCGCCGCGGGGAGCAGCCGGCGGCGCCGGGAACAATGGCTGGGAGCCCCCGCGGTGCCGAGGGGCGGCCCGGACCGGGCTGGGGGGGCTGGGGGGGAACTGTGGGCACCCCCGGGGTAAAGGGAGACGGGCAGGAGGCGTGTGACTGCAGCCTGGTGGGGGGATTCAGGACAGGTAACTCGCAGGCTGCTCCGAGCTCGCCTGGTGGTGTTTCTCCCAGCTTCATCCCCGCAGAGCTCGCACGGGAAAGGGAAAAAGAAAAAAAAAAAGGTAATTAATAAAAGGTAATATTTTACAACACTACAGGGAAGCAGCAGACTTTAAAGAGAGACCAAGTCATCATGCTGGTGTAGAAAATGACTTGGTAAACAATCCCGTAGCTCAAACTGGATTGATGCTTTTAAAAAGAGTCTTTAAATTTACCATAGTCACCCATGACAGATCCTAAGGTAACATCTGTTCTTCACCAGCTTTCTTCTTGCCTGTTCTCCATACCTACTTTAACTTCCCTAATAATTTTACCGGGATATCATTTCCATTTACACAGATCTCTTTGAATTACTGAATTAAAAAATGTAAATGACAACGATGTTTCAAAGGTGACTTCCTGGAGTATATTCTGCTGTAAGGATTCGAGATCTTCATTACCACATTGTCCTTGTCTCGCAGGTACTTCCTCATTTCCTTTTTAATATTCTTTTGTTATACAGATATTATGAAATTAAAACACTATTTTTAAAAGACAACGTTACAAAGACAATCTGAAGTAGAGAATTTTTCCATGTTCAGGAAAGGATGGATCTGGCTTTTATGTGAATCAACTAAACTGAAGACTTCTACCGAACTAAATTTAAAAAGAAAATTCTCTCTTATTTGCTTTGGTAGGAAACATGGCAGAAAGAATTATTGATAGTCTTAAAAGCACATTGTTATTTTTTTTTTTTTTTTTTTTTTTTTTTTGAAACAGAAATAAAAAAAATAAATTCCGGTCAATAAAACATTGCAGGAACGTTGCAAATTTAAACTAATAACCTCCCTCCTCCACGGCTGCCCCTTCCGTTTACAGTCACACGTGTTACCGGGAAAAAAAAAAAAAAAGAAAAGAAAAATTGCTCTGAGCGCACGCAGAGCCTTGTTTTGTTACAGTCCGGATTACTGTTATTATTATTTGGGGGACAAGGGGGAGTTGTGTCCTTAATCCGAGCCTCCCTGCCCTCCCCACCCCCCAGATGCTGTGAAAAGAGAGCTGATTTCATTTCCACCATACAGTACACTTTGTCTAGAGAGCATTGTTCGGACAAGCAACTCCCGATCCCTGATGACTACAAAATGCGATTTATGTTTCCATCAGAGAGAGACAGAATATCCTGATGGCTTGAAAGTCGGGCAAGAAAATCTTATCTAATCAATCCCTTTCCAATACACACACACACGCACACACACCACACGCAGCTAGTATAGGAGATAACGCCCGCACTGATTGTACGTAAAATAAATATCGGCAGCATGACAATTAACAATAGTCATCTCGGTATTTTTCGTCTCCCTCTAAAAAGCTACAATAACACGGTTTGCTTCTTTCCTAGCTTGATGTCATTATCATCAGCATAATTTTTTAAAAAAGAGCTTAAAAAGCATGCATTTTTTTTATATTCAACACGAACAGATATAGTAAAGAGAGCGTGTAACATCACAACCACAACAACAACAGCAAAAGCAACCTCTGAGCCCGAGGATTCGTCCGTATCTGAACTGCTTTTATTATCAATTGCGAAATCATAATAAGAGTAAATAATAAATAAGAGACATCATCATAATAGGAAGAAGTCAGAACACCTTGGGTTTGTTTTTTTTCTCCCTCTCAAATAAAAAGGCAGATTTCCCGATGATCACTGAAATTATAACGACAGCGATTGATCGCACGGCTTGCAAAGGAAAAGGAAAAAAAAAAAATCATCATCATTGGTCCTAAAAACGCAACCGTTCCCCTTTGCTCACTTGGCACAATAGAAATTGACTGTCTCTCAAAGAGCCATGCGCCTAGTGCTATTTATAGCCAGGGGCTGTGTTGGAAGATACCATTAAGCTTCTCCCGGGCAGACAGACAGGGGGGTGGTTAGATGGGAGGAGGGGGTTTAGCCAGAGTAGAGGCAAAAGCAATCCCCCACCCCCAGCCTCCCTTCCCCGCACACACACACATCCACACACTCACACCCCACCCCCTAGTCTGGCTGGGAATTTGAACCGATCCAGCCTGTTTAAACGGAAAGGACACAGATCTTCAATGTAAAAAAAAAATCAGATCAGACCCAGAGAGAGAGACGGAGAGGGAGGAGTGTGTGTGTGTGTGAGTGTGTGTGTGTGTGTGAAAGAGGGAGAGGGAGCGAGAGAGCGAGAGAGAGGGAGAGAGAGAGAGAGAGAGAGGGAGAGAGGGAGGGAGAGAGAAAAGAAGAGGGGGAAAAAAAGGAAAGAAGATTTTCTCTATGTATATAAAGATGGCCACGTTAGCAAACGGACAACCAGACAATACCAGCCTGAGTAGCAATCACAGCAACCCCAGCACCAACGGGCATATGAACGGATTAAACCATAGTCCCGGAAACCCATCCACCATCCCAATGAAGGACCACGATGCCATTAAGCTCTTTATTGGGCAGATCCCCCGTAACCTGGACGAGAAAGACCTCAAACCGCTCTTCGAGGAGTTCGGGAAGATCTATGAACTGACGGTGCTGAAGGACAGGTTCACTGGCATGCACAAAGGTGAGTTACCTCCTGAACTTTCCCGGGAGAGATCGGGAGAGGAAGGCAGGCTCCCGCTCCCTCTCTGGGTCTCTCTTTCTCTCTTTCCTTTCGATTTCATTTCATTTTATTTCATTTTTGGTTGGCCCGGGGGGCGGAGGCGGCAGGCTGGGGGGGCAGGGAAAGAAATAATAGACCCTCCTGGAAAGAGAAGAGAGAGAAGCAGGGAAGGGAGTCAGCTCCGTCTGCTTTATTTTATTAGTATTTTTGTTTCTTTTCCCCCCTTTCCTGGGGGGCGAGAGATGCCGCCACTTGCGGAAGCCGGGGCGTCCAGGCGAGCGGAGGAGCGGGCGGCGGGGCGGGCAGGAGCTGTCCGCTCGCCGGTGGTGCTGAAAAGAGGGAGAGGAATTCTTTATTTATCTTTGGGAGACACACATTTTCCAGCCAGGGGTGTGTGTGTGTGTGCCCGTGTGTCTGCCCGTGTGTTTGTTTGCGCGGAGCTGGGAAGCCCCTATTTTTACAACTGTTGTGTATCTGCCACCGGCGCTTTTTTCTTTCTTTCTCTCTTTCTTTCTTTCTCTCTTTCTTTCTCTCTTTCTCTCTTTCTCTCTCTCTTTCTTTCTCTCTTTCTTTCTCTCTTTCTTTCTCTCTTTCTCTCTTTCTTTCTCTCTTTCTTTCCTTCCTTCCTTCCTTCCTTCCTTGCTTGCTTCCTTCCTTCCTTCCTTCCTTCCTCCCTTCCTTCCTTTCTTCTTTCGTTCCTTCTTTCCTTTCTTCCTTCGTTCCTTTTTTTTTTTTTTTTTTTTTTTTTTTTTTTTTTTTTTTTCTGCTGTTACGATTATTATTTGCAGTCTGCTCCAAAGCTAGAGAGTGAGTTGCTCCGGGGGAAGTATTTAATTTTGGTTTTATTCAACGTGGGAACAGGGTTATAAACAACAATAAAAAAGCCTATCTATCTCAAGTGGGGTGGGAGTTCAGGGGGTTGGTGGTGTACAAAATCACAAAGTGTGTGTGTTGGAGAGAGTGAGCTAGAAGGGATGGGTTGCAGTTTAGTTCCAGAGGGGAGAAGGGTCTGAGTGGGTATATTCCAAGCACTACTTTAATGTGCCCAGAGTCCATCCTGGGAACTTTTTAGGTTTTCTTTAAAAGCAGTGGAGATGTACTCCCCACGCGATGCCTCGCTCACTCCATCTCTGCCTGCTCCTTTCCCTGCTTAGCTTAGGATCTCCGGAGGTGCATTTCAGATTAGATGATGCTACGTTTTGGGGGTGGGGGAGGGTGTGTGTAGTGGGGGAGAGATGCTCAGATCCTCGGGTAGGAAAGTAGGACTCGCAGGGAGGAAGTTGAAGATAATTTGCACGGTAGCCCCGCTTAGGAGCAGGAGAGACCCGGGAGTGAAGTGGGCCACTTTATTAACTCAGGTTCTGTATATAGATGTGTATGCATATGTGTTTATTTCACTAGATATGTAGTTATTAAGGGGGAAAAAAAAAAGAAAAAAAAAGAAAAAAAAAAAAAAAAGAGAGATCAGATCAGAAGTAATTGGGGTGGGACTCCAAATTTAGTGTAGAAGGAGAAAAGATTTTGCAGGGGTTCACGGGGGGAGTGGAAGTTGCATCTGTTACATGAGAGCTTCGGTAGCAGTGTCTACTCCAGCTTGGTGGACTCCTGGCAGAAAGAGTCACTGGTAATAGCATTACTGGCTTCCCAGCTTTCCAGATGTCTTGGCAAGTTGTAAATCTTGAACTTAACAGCATGTTTAGCAGGCATCTCTTCCCCCTTCCCACTTACTCTCCTCCTCTCTTCCACCCTCAGGAAATGCGAGTGAAAATATACCCTGACAGTGCAAAGTACCAGTTTCGTACAGGCTAGAGGAAATATTCAGGGCTCGGAGACCGGGGACTCAGTCTAAGTTATAGGATATTTCTTCCTTCCTTTCTTGCCGGTCTCTCCAAACACCCTTCTCATATTTGCAATGATCAGTGTAGCCCTTTCAAACCTTGCTTTCTTTTCAGACTAGCTTCCTAGAAGGCACATCGAGGTCTGATGGGCATCATTTAAATATGACACCCATACTATAATAATTAGTAATAATAACAATAAAAATAATAGCAAGAAGCACAGGGAAGGAAAGGTCCTGGGAGGTTTCGTCTAATAGATGAGGCATAGTAAGAGTAGCTTCTGAGCTCATGTGTGCACGCATGTGCTTGCAAAAATTATCTAAGCTTTCCGTAAAATAAAAATAACAACAGTAAAAGCTGCACTGAAGAGAATCATTCAACATAGTGTAAAGGAAATCTTTGAGCTAACACCTCGATAAAGCATTTTTGTGGTGGAGGGAGGTTATTTTGATTTGTTGATGAGATTTTCTTCTTATGTTTTCTCTTAAACCTCTAATTAATCAATCTATGCGCTAACTTTATCTTCTATTTCATAGATGTGAATTCTTCCCCTTTCAGTTCAGTTTTTCTGTTACTGTATGCCTGTATTCACAGAGACAAACTCAGGAAGGGGGAGAGGGAGGGAGAGAGGAGAGAGAGGGATCATTTATCTTGCTTGGATGTGTTTAACACATATTCCTGAATTAAGCAAGATACTAACTTCATTTCCCTTCATTTCATTTCTGTTCTAAAGCTGCAACCTAGGAAAAAAGCCAGGTGGGAAATCTTGTCACCTCATCAAACCAAATTGCATGAGTTCATCTTGGAAAAAACAGTAATTTTTAACCTCCTAGAAGTTTTGGACTTTGGAAGGAAAAATGATGATGATGATTATTATTGCACAGGCTAGGGTTTGAGTGAAGCTTCAATAGACACCCAGTTGCCAGCGTTTCAGAGATCGGTTTTATTTAGTGCATCCAAGAAGAGTTTGAACTCCTTTCTAGCGATGCCGCTGATTTATTAGCTAATCCTGATAAAAATGTGCCTCTGGCTACCTGGAAAAAAATTACTTTCTTGCCAGTAGTGATTAATTACTATTAAGTCAAAAAGCATGATGGGGCTTTGAAGGATGAGGATTGTGTTTGGCTTTTTTTATTATTTTATTTCATTTTATTTCATTTTTAATCTTTTTTTTTTTCTTTTCCCTTCCCTAAATGCAGTAATGTGAAACATAGTATTCACTCTGATCTCCTTATTTTGGCTTTGCTTTGCAGGCATAGGTGAAGAATTGCGCAAAGATAGTCCAACTTGGCTCTGAGGGGTAGTATGGCAATATGAAACCCCAAGATGCTTTCCATGAGTGATGCATAATGCTTATACATTAATTGATCCATCACTCTCAGTTGATTTCATTCCTAATCCAGGGGATGAGGCTGTGGCAGCGGTATACTCTGAAGGGTTAATAGTGGGCTGTAGTTTATTTAAGTGCACAGAGAGCAAACCTTGGGTGTGGAGGGGGAGAAGGTGGGTTTGCACTGGGAGGAGGGAAGAGACAGGAATTAGTTTGAAGTAAAAACGCAGCAACTAGAGTAATTTCAGGTGTAAATCCATTGAAATGAGAGCACAGGATGTGTATTCTTGAAAATATTATGCAGAGATCTTCTTGTAGTGCTGCTGTATAGCATGAGGAAATTGAAAATTAAGAACCTGAAGATAAAGTACATGTCTACGCCCTCTCCCAAAAAAACTATCGCAAAAGGAGAGTGAAGTCCCAGGTTCTCTAACCAGCAGCCCCGGCTAATACCAGGCCAGATACCAGGGAAGAGGCAGGGGAGCATGATTCTCTTGCAGGCACGCAAAGAGAGAAAAGGGTACAGGGGAAGCAGTGTATCAGGGAAGGTGGGAAAGGCTTGCCAGATTCCCGAGAAAACAAGCTCTCATGGCATGAGCGTAGCTGCTGCATATTTCCCCTGTCCTCACTTCTCTCCACACGGGGCAGGGACAGGCTTCTGCTGTGGTACTTTGCTCTAGGGTTGGGAAGAGGCTGTGTGCTGAGATCCGTGGGTAGAAATCTACCGGGGCTGAGCTGACCCACCCACATGCTCACACACACACACACACACGGAGTTAACTAATCACACTTGAACAATTTAGCAAGCCATTCATTCATAACTTCCCCCCTTCTTATCTAGCAGTGGAGTATGCTTAAAGGCTGAGTTACTGGGAGACATAAAGGTTAGTGCTCTCAGGACAGCCATATTATAATGCATTATCTTTGAAGTCATTTAAGGCCAATTTAAGTGGTATTTAGTATAATATTTATGAATTAATGTAATCTAAATATAGGATTGTCCCCATAGGTTTAAACAGCCTTTTCTGTCGAATCTTGCTTGTACCCAAAGCCTGGAATGTGTTTTCATTCAAAACACACGGGTCTCCGTAATATTCTATTTAGGAAGTCAGAAGAAATCAACATTCCACACTTAACTGAGATTAACTGAAACACACGCGGGTGAGTGCACTTAAAGAGTGGAGATAGTCTGCAGTGGGAAAGCAAGAGTCATCCATAGACCTAAGGGCTACAACATTCTTTCAACCCTTGTTTAATGGGGGAAAAAAGCACAAAATCCCCCAAACCTCCTGGAAATCCACCACTGCAGTCCCGCGGTTAGGATGGTGTTCCTACCTGACCTGAACCTCACTCGATAAGCATTCAATGCAGCTAGAAAAATGCCGTATGGAAACAATAGTTTAGTTCTTTTGCTGCTTTACCTTCTCAAAAGTATAAATAAATTTGAAATTTAAGACACCTCAGGAGTAGGTGAACAAGGCTTCCACTCATTATATTCTGTTCTGTTCAAATACAAAGATAAATGATAGAAAAATTAAAAGCCTTGTTAAGTTCAAGGATGTTTATGAAGGTTTTGTATATCTCAGAAATTCAAAGGTGCAATGAAAATAAGCATTCAGTTAAGATGATATATATGTATAAATGTATAGATTTGTGTGTGTGTATACATACAGGAAAAAGAGTTGTGTACACGTTCATGCATATAGCCTTTGGGAAATGGAAATTTAGTTGAAAAGAAGCACAGCGCAATACAGGTGCTGAATAAACTCCTCCATAATTGAAACATAAGGCTT